TATTTTTCTCGTACAAGTCAAGTTTGGATTGGGTAGATAATTTTAGTTGAATATTTCTGCTAGATAATTTCTATAAATTTATTTTGTTTCAATGACAATGATGAGACTTAAAAGTGAGTTTATCTTTTTGGTTGTTGTAGTAGCTGGAGACACCATCATGATCATGATTACAATAATAGGAAGCAAGATTACCTTCTTTGTTTTGTACACATTTCTGTTGGAATCAGTTCAACAATAAATTCTGGATCCTTATTCTCATCATATTGTAGTATCATATGGTTGTGGCTCTTTACATGTCATGTTCCCTGAAACCTTGTATTTTGAGTTTAATAAGAATATGAAGCAATACTATTGAGACTGCTATTATCCTAAAATTAGCTTCTTTTTTGTGATAGCAAATAGGACAATCAATCCATTTTGGTTTGGACTCCACTTGCGTCAAGAAAAATTAAGGCTGAAAGCTCTCCATATAATAGCAAGTTGAGAATGACATTGAGAGGGGCTTCAAATATGACCTCTCTAATGCCTAAAGTATAGCACCAAATTTAAAAAAAATATGAAATTTTAATAATTAAACCATGCTCATCACTCTTTTTTATTATAGTCTATGTTTCTTGAAAAGAGAGAGAAAAAAATTGTTTGCTACAAAATGGGGACTCGTGGTAAGTGAATCGAGGAATAATAAATATTTTTTTAATTAAAATAATCTCTCAAATATTTCAATTTGGTATATAAATATTTGAGTTTTGTTATTTTTATGGGAGTCTCTACAACTTTATGGATGGAATAAAAACAAGACGAGTGTAGTTGATTTACTCAAGCAAAAGTTGATTAGTCATTCTCAAGGAAATGAAAAGATAGATCAAATCCTTGTTAAATGGATTTAACTATGGATTCTTTAAAAAAAATTCAACTGTGATGACTCAAGGATGTGATTTTATTTTTAGAAACTTTAATAACTTATGTGTTTTATGTGGTTTTGAGAGGTTCAAAGAAAAAGATGATATTTTGTGTGAGGCGTAAGTCATTCAAGCGGGGATAAGCTTTGGACATACAAGTAATTCTATTGATAATAAAATCAAAATTTAAAGCTATTATTGGTATCTTAAATAATAAGTCAAGTATTTTTGCTTTAATTAAAAACATATTAGCTCTTGCGATAATTAAAAACATACTAGCTCTTGCTTTAATTAAAAAATTCAATTATGATGACTCGAGGATGTGATTTTATTTTTAGAAATTCTAATAATTTTATGTGGTTTCGAGAGGCTAAAAAAAAAAATGATATTTTGTGTGAGACGTAAGCCATTCAGGGATAGGCTTTGGACATAGGAGTAATTCTAATAATTCATATATATGTTTTGTGTGGTTTCGATAGGCTCAAAGAAAAAGATATCTTTTGTGTGAAACACAAGCCATTCAAGTGGGGATAGGCTTTGGACATGAAAATAATTCTATTGATAATAGAATCAAATTTTAAAATTATTATTAGTATCTTAAATAATAAGTCAGTATTGTTTTGAAGTATTTTTGCTTTAATTAAAAACATACTAGCTCTTGCGATTGGTAGACGAATTGACTTGTCAACTTTGATAGGAATTCTATCTAAGTTCTACTTGTAATTGGTAGACGAATTTATCTCCTAATCTAGATTTTTTTATTCAGAAGGTTGTATTAAGTTTTGATTTATAAATTTTTCTTCTTTTGGTCTAAAAAAAAAAAAAGAAAGAGAGAGAAGATAATGGAAAAATAATTAAAGAATTTTTTTGAGTGAGTGAAAAATGTTTTATGCCATGCTTTTTTGCTAATGCTTTTGTAATGTTGATGGCATACATCCGCAATACTCCGTCACCCTTCTCAGGAGGTGCTGTATGTGTCTGTTCCTCAGCTCGCGACTCAAAAATCTCTTTCACATTTACATAGAGATTAGTGTTTATACTATAATTTCAACTAAGACAAGAAAATGGATTGTATGTTCTTTTTTAATTTACCCTCTATGAAGAACATGTATATGTAAGACAATAGATCAAATTACTTATATAACGTTACCAGAATCTTTTGTTTTTTAAAGGACGATTGAGTTCGAGAAATGGACGACAATAATTATTATTGATGAAATCGATCAAACATGATATGATCAATTTTGACATTAAAATCTCTATGCCCAACTTTCTTTTTCCATTCCTACAAAATTACGATCATGAGATAACAGTTTAGAAGGACCAAACTTTCCACTAACCCCTGTGGTCTTTCTTGATCTCTTTCTTCATGTGGGGTTGCTTCTCATGACAGCAAAGAAGGGTGAAAAGTAATAAGCTTGTAAAAGACTTATCAAATATGATTTCCTTCTGTTTTATTTATTAATTAAAAAAAATAAGCGACGAACATAAGATTCGCTCGATTATCTTATAATAATCTATCGATGTTTTTACCAAATACATTAGTCAACATACTTAATATTTAATTTTCGATAGAGATACAGTAACATATCTGAATGTGCAAGTTTCCAACAACCAATGGTTGTCACGACTATATTGTTTCTATATTTCTATGTTATTTAAAAGCAGAGACTTAGAGATATTAAATATACTTTTGATAGGACATATTTTGGTAACCTACTGTTCAACCACTATTCACAGTCACATCAATGTCAAGATCAACATACCGGATCACACTCCTCGGTCAATGTAGTTCTGCAAAGATCGGGACGATGCCAACCGAGTACCGTGCAGTCTTACAAAAGTCGAGACGTTACCGACCAAGTACAATTGTCATATCGCAAAGATCGGGATGGTGCCGACTGAGTACCGTGTCGTCCTACGAAAGTCGAGACGACACCGACCAAGTACAACACCGTCATCCCATAAAGATCGAAATGGCACCGATCAAATGCAGTACCATCTCGTAAAAGTAGGGAAGTCATTGAGTACGACACCATCGCTAAACGTCATGACATTGAGAGGGGCTTCAAATATAGCCTCTCTAATGCCTAAAGTATAACATAATAATAATAATAATAATAATTCAATCTTACGATTCGGTGCATTGATCTTTAGAAATTGTTACAGTGTTTAGTTGCCACATTTACGAGTTGATTCTCGTAAATTGTGTACGTAACAAATTTCAAAATATAATTAATTTAGGAATTTTTAACAAAATGTTTTTATCTGATTAGTTTAACAAAATAAAATTTTACCAATATTTATTCCTCCATGAACTGAACGATTCTATTACTTCTTATAAAATTAAAAAAATATTGTTACGTGTGTTTAATTTATCAATTTTTCATTTTGATTTTGAAAAAATAAATAATTTTTATAATTTTTAGATCCATTTATCTAGTTATTTAAAATATTGCAAACTTTAATACAAATTTTAATATTAATAGTTATAGAACGTATAAGATTAACTGTTTCTTGAACTCGTCCTAAGTATATTTGTATTATTTATAAAAATAATATGGGAAAATTTGAGAAACATAATGGAAATGTTCAAAATTTATTATATATATCTAAATCATTTCAAACTTTCTATTTTTGAAATGTGATATTTATGAAATTCGTATGAATAGGATCAACCCTTATTTGATCATGATTTATATTTCGAGGCAGCATTCGATTTTTTTTTATTGATTCTTTTTCGATGAAGATGTATGGTTCCATATGTCTATATAGATCATGTTCATCAATTAACAAATATATAAATAAATGTATGGTTCCAAATTGTATTCCAAAGTAAGTCAATTATGAAATTGAGAGTCAACCTTTAGATATTGAAGTCATCAGTGGCAATGAAGTCATCCATAGGACAAACCCATCCACTCAATGTAAACCAGCGTGCCAGAAACATCTTCCATGACTTGGAAAAATATAACAATTCAAATAATTTGAATACTCTTAGTCTTTTTCTCTAATAAAGCCAAGATATTGGTTTTCCATATTTAAATAGAAATTGAAGGTGCCGTTCCGTAAAAACCCTTATCATCATTGTACGATACTATCTAGATTTCAGCTAATGAAGATCAATTGTAAGAACATGTATCTACTTTAATATTTACTTTCAATCATGATTCAACATGCGAACCCAATCAGCAATACATCCACAATGCTCGAATGAAAATTCTTGAAAGAATATTCTATCAATATCATAAGATATTCTTTTGGGTGAGTTAAAAGCTCTTCGATCCATTGTTATCGATATTAATTATTAATTATTCAATTTTTTTATTAAAAAAATAATTTAACCGCATGTAAATCCGAACCGAATTAGACTGCTTCAAATTGCATGACATCGTAGTTTATAAAATTTACGTCTTAAAAAATTACAATATACTATATATAATATTATCGATGTGGTCCAATGTCCATGTTCGAGAACGTGACCGCTCACATCACGACAAACAAAGTCAGTCGCGAAGGTTCCGCGAAACTTCGCGCGGTAGCACATTCCTATGGAACTTTTAAGCCTAAGCAGCTCTTGTGCTGCTTAGGCTTAAAAGTGTATGAATAATTTATATGAAGTATTTTCCAACTACCGTTGGATCCGCAGCCTTCTGCCATCTGATGTTTCTACAAAGAAAATGACTCAGAAAAGAGTACATTTAAAACAAAGAAACATTCAACCCCTTATTTGGAGCGAGGGGCATAACTCCAACTTTGTCGTTTCTGTAAGCACTTCGTAGATTTAAATGTTAGAACTAACATGCAATGATAGACTTCAAATAAAAAGCAATTCTTATTAGCATTTTATTGAATCGAATATTCTAGCATCATAATAATGTCACGCCTATTAATGACATGATGGGATATAATAAAAGATAAATCATGGTCACAGGATTTGGGACCCAAAGTTGTCAATTTGTGATTTTTCTTTTATAATTATATTTGGTTCAATCGTCTTGCTCACTAGCAGAGCAGTATTGGCTTAAGTGTAAACGCGAGAGTACTACACCGCTGGCGACTCGATAAAATGAAACGAAATAAGTATGAGACGGAAGCAGTGCGTCACGACTCGAGGAACGGCACGGTAGGTTTCTTTCTCTTTTTTGCTCTGTTTCATGTCGACAGCAACAGGCGCCAGCAACGATCCTATGCGCACCGAGGGCGATGGAGGCGCCGCCGGCTTACTTGCTGCCGAGGCAGACAATGTTGGGGAGCACGGCGGCTTCCCGTGGATGCGGGTGTTGGTGCTCGCTATCCTCACCTTCAACTTCCTGCTGGCCTTGTACCGATCCACGGACGACCCCGGGAATGCCGCCTTCGTCGTCGCATCGTACGCGGACTTGATCTCGCTCTTCTACTGCCTCCGCCTCTTCGAGAGAACCCCCGAGGCGGCAGTCCAGATGAGGAAGAACCTCAAGAAGGCGGTGTGGTGCCTCTCAGCTTTGCTCGTAGCCATGTTCAGCTACCGCGTGGCCGCCGTCATGCCACCGGCCGTGGCGGTCATCGTCTGGTGCATGGCGGGGTTCACTGTCTCCGGCAGCTTCTGCGCACTGTTCGTCTTCGACAGCGATGGTTACGGCGACACGGATGGCTGTGAAAAGAAGCACTTGACGGCATGATGCGGGCTCTTGAGGTGAAGTCTCGGTAATGCTGTTTAATCCCTTCGAGCATATTATATTTCTCTGTGTTCTACACTGTACAGTATGCATGTCGTTTGGATAACCGAAACTAATACAGAGTAATGATGTGTTTTTGCTTTTTCTTCTGATCTAAATGTTTCAGTAAGAAGCTGATTGCTTTCAAATTTACAGAAACTGACCATTTACCCTCCAACGATGGGTGCACCGAATGAAGAAAATGAGAAAACTAGTTCAGATGGTCGCTGCACGTGAGACCTAACTTGGACTCTCAGAGCAGAGCTGAATAGAACAAATGATGTGCTACACGCGGAGGTTATATAGACCAGATGATGTCTGGACCAGAGAAATATGAGTAGACGGGATCGGGCCTTTTCCTCCTCTTCTCTTCTTCACCAAATTCTACTCTCTCTCTCTCTCTCTCTAGACATAACTTCGACTCTCAGAACAGAGCTGAATAGACCAAATGATGTGCCATACTCGGAGGTTATATAGATCAAATGATGCCTGGACCAGAGAAATATGAGTAGACGGGATCGGGCCTTTTCCTCCTCTTTCCCTTCTTCACCAAAGTCTACTCTCTCTCTCTCTCTCATGTTCATAACTTCCTATTTCTTCCTTTTTCCTATGTTCAGCACTTCCTATTCTCCCCATTTCCGCCCAAAATATTAGCACTTTTACTAATATATTTAATGCCAAGGAACGATTGTGCAGTTTTTTTATGAAGCTTATGAGAGAGTAAAGAATACTATTTTGACCCAAAAAACACGAAAATGTTTTGGCTTCATCATGAGTTATCTGAATAAACCCAGCTATACACCCTATACACTACCAATATGGTAACAGCTCGAAACCTGACCAGTAAATGTACAACCTCGACTGAGATGGACATTCCAGTTCAGTTAGGTCAGCTTGGTCGTGTTTTTCCAGCTATTGAAAATTAAATACAAAAGAAACCAGAGATTATGTTAGAAAAGAAAAAACAGGTGGCCCACCAGCGAACAAAACCAAGGGTCTCAGACGCTCCTAGCACGCCTAATATCAATCCGGTTAACTATTTAGATATTAAAAGGCACAGATCAATACTGCTTGTAGCATGTGACTCGACTGCAGAGTCAAACAAGCTAAAAAATCAATTGTTGTGAAACAAAGGATCAACAAGCAACAAAATGAAATCCTTGTGTCTCCTGTTGACTAATATGCCCACAGTAATGGCTAAAAAGCCTTCCTTTGTACCCTGATTGTATCTCCTGTAGACTACTATGCCCACAATAATATGCCCACAGTATGCCCAGAAAATTGACTTCAGGGAAAAAAAAAAAATCCATCAACAATGAGAGACCATGTCAAGAAAGTAGAATGGGCAAAGGGAGTAGAACATGTTGATGTTCAAGATGATGATAAATGACACAAGTGAGAACCATAAATCACGCATGCACATAATGATTCAGTTTTATGAATAGCATCCACCACAAGCTAATACGTATGAAAGTTCAGTTGAAGTTATTGCATGGTACCTGCAAAATTATGTGAGATATACTGTAAAATTGTATGCATGAAAAATGTGTACATCTGGCATACTTTGTTTCTGGTGTATATAGCATGTGTTGGTGGTGATGATATCTGTGGGGAAGTCCAATGTATCAGGAAAGGCTCTTGATAATTATCCACACAGACTGATGTTCCCAAGAACTTGTCCAAAACATAAAAAAATGCCCAGTGTTGCAGGATAATCTGATTTCCAGTTCCTCCCAGTTGGATGAAGGGAGCACCATTTGTCTTATAGGAACCACTATAATTTGAATGTCTCATGGTGCAGGATTTCCTTTTAAGAAGCTTTTGCACATACCAATTACTCTGTCAGATCATCTATCACCAACATAATCCTTTTAACATTTTTTAATCTGTTAGCAGATATCTGCACAGCAAATGGTTCCACCAAATTAAAAAGCTCCAAACTGCACATCTGAGATTCAACAGACTGCTATTTGTTTCACAGTGATGGTTGTGAATCCAAATCACTGGAACCACCCATCAGCAATTACTAACAATGGTCCTGCAGCAATTGATAAGAAAAGATCAAGTGACCACTGGATATCCATTTGAATAGTTTGTTAGTCCTTAACTTTCCACACCAAACTGTATGATGCTCTCCTGCCAAATAGATTATGATGGCATGTGGTGTAAGATGAACAGAAAAAAGCACCTCAGTTCAAAACACTGCTTTTGGCCAGTTAATTGATACTCAACTTATAGATTTAGTAGCTGCTGCTGGTGATGCTTCAGCAAGCATCCAATGACAAGATTCACTTGAACATGGTGCTCGATGGCAGTAATTCTCTGGATACAATTTCATTGATGATACATATAGAAAATCCTGAAAACTAATTTGTTCGGCCATGTGCATCCAGTTTGAATCCACAAAATCTGATCCACAGGTTTAAGTTTGTACTTCCCAATAAATATATAAACTGATTTCCCGCATATTATTCAGTAGAAAACATGTAAACTAACCAACAGTAAATCACAGAAAACAGTTCTCTAGTTGATGTTCATTTGGATCTAGAAGACGTGATAAATGCACAAACTTGACCATCTAAAAATAACCACAAGGAACATTGACAATGGTAAATCACAGAAATCAGTTCTTCAGATGACATTCATTTGAATGTAGAGGACATGAAAAGTGCACACTCCTGGCCTTATCATAGAAACCACAAGGAACTTTCATATCATATTCTGCTTCACCAAGTCTGAGATACATAAATGCTACTATCATCCCACAACATCATCAGGGCTATCTTGATCAATAGAAACATTATCTGAATCCCTACCCAACCTCACCATCCTCAGAAGAAATTTATCTTTTGGCAAACCATTTCCTGAAGTATTCCATAATATGCTCAATATTTCTTGGGACAACTGGATGAATTCTTTACACTTAAAGCAGCAAAGATTATCCTATATCAAAACGTAAGCTGGATCGTTTAACTCTGCATGAAAATCCAAACCAGCAGTAACATTTAACACTCCAATCTTTGGCAAACCAGTTCCTGAAGTATTCCATAATATGCTCAATATTTCTTGGGACAACTGGATGAATTCTTTACACTTAAAGCAGCAAAACTTATCCTATATCAAAACATAAGCTGGATCGTTTAACTCTGCATGAAAATCCAAACCAGCAGTAACATTTAACACTCCAATCTTTGATGGATGATGCAAATATTTGGGAGGATACATCCCATCCTCATGAGGATACATCTTGCCCACAGCCAATTCTGGAACATGATGAGAAAAAGGCCGTGAGTCACTTGAAACCAGACCGATAAACTATGCTCTAGTGGCTAGTCTGATGGAAATGAAGTTTTTGAAATTTTCTTGAAATGTAGAACTTTGCCATGCTGATGGATTTCCCTATAGCATAATAATTTGCATATAGAAAAGTTCAGTCACTACCGGGAGCCTTTAGAAGTCATATATGTAAGATCTGTCTGCCACCAGCAAACTTAATAAACCTGCTTCATTCTGGAAAAAGGACTGCACTGATAAATATACACTTGTGATCATTAAATATGAAAAATATCTTTTTCGAGTGAGGGTTCAATACATTCATTGTTACCACCCAAATTCAAGTGCATATATTGTATGTTAGGTCTGCCACAGCCTCTAAACATATTAATGGCATACCAGGAAACACTAACGAATCTTGAATACAAGCTGATTTTACATCTAATTGACAAACTCCCACCGTTGACAGCTAGCATTCTCAATTATCATAAGATGCAGTATAGCCATTCTTCTAAAACAAAAATTAGGACCTATCTTTCAACTGTGAGCAAATCATATGGCCTTTAAAATCTTTCATGGTACATGGTTTATAGGCCAAGAACTGTGGCAGGCAATCATGAGTAAGAATTAATTATCTTCACTGCATAACTTTGAGAACAAGAACAAACAAACAGTAAATTCATTTCCAGTCTTAACCATCTAATTAATTAGCTAAGTAGACCTATAT